GTGGGAGGTGACAGAGTCCCATTCTTCCTCTGTGCTGTGGGGCTGGGATTTTACCCCCTTCTTCTGCACCCACCCCCACCCCGGGGTTCCAGAAAGTAGAGCAGATGGAAGCAGATGGAATCTCAGGCCTGGGCTTCTCCACACCCCCTGCTCCCAGGCTGGAGAGGAATGAAACATTTCAGGGAGAGATGAGGACAGAGGAAGGAAAAGATGTTGATCAAGAAAGATGAGAGCCAGGGATGAGGGTTGAAGGAAAAAAAAATCAAAGACTAAACACCAGTTTATTAAAAAAAAGAAAAAAAAGGGAGGGTCTTGAAGAGGGTAACACAAATCTGAACCTGCCTGGAAAAAAAAAAAAGGAAAAGTTCTCCAGTCTCATAGAGACATAATTTGGTGCAGCCTGCTTTGCAGTAGGAGTGCTCAGGCCTCAGTTCAGCCCTGGAGGCAGGCAGCATGCCCTCTACAGCTCATCCTTAGCCTGGTCTGCAGCTTCTTCTTCTTCCTAGTCCTCGTCATCCTCATCTTTTTCCTCCTCCTTGCGCTTTTTGTCCTCTTCCTCTTCCTTTAGCCTCTGTTCTTCATCCTGCTTGTCCTTCATGAGCTTTTCTGCAGCCTTTGTGATACCCCATGTCTCATTACCAAACTCCTCAGCATAGACCTCATTGTTGGTGATGAGGAAGTTGTCAAGGATGGTGCCCGAATTGACCTGTCAGAGATCCAGGCCCAGCACAGCAAAGCTGTTGTAGAGTAGATGCTGGCATCGAGGGAGTACACGGGGTTGTCAACCTCCGGGTGGATCCACTTGCCCTTGTAATCTGGGTTGTCGATCTGCTGGAGCTCCCACTCACCCTTGTACTCAGGGTTCCGAATCATAGGTGGTTCCCACTCTCCATCCATATCCTCATCCCAATCCTCGGGCCTCTTGGCATCAGGGTCAGGGATGTGCTCAGGCTTGTCCCAGTCCTCAGGCTTAGAGTAAGTGGAGTCATTGATCTTGGCCCGTTCATCCCAGTCATCGGGTTTGGCAGCATCAGGATCTTCTTGGGTGGCAGGAAGTCCCAGTTATCTTCCAAGAAGCCTGATTCTACCTGGCTGTTGTCAATCTTCTTCACCTCACAGGTGTCTGACCTCACGATCAGGGTGTACAGGTATGTAAATTCATCACTCTTGCAATGGATGTCCGTGTTGATTAGCACGTTCCTGCCCTTGTAGTTGAAGATGAACCTTCTTGGTGCCAGGACCACAGATGTCAGGACCAAACATGATGTTGTATTACGCGTCCCCGTGCATGTCTGTCTGGTCCAAACCATCAGGAAATAGCTTCACACAGCCGCCCCCACAGTCAATGTTCTGCTTGTGCTTCACGGTAAACGGCACCAGGGCCTTGGTCTTGTTGCTGAAGGGTTCGAATCTTGCCAACAGAGCGTAGAAGTGGGCGTCTCGCTTGTCTGCAGCCCTTTATCTTGTTCCTGGTCACCGCAGAACTTGCCAGAACAAATTTTCCAAAATGTAACTTGTGTTTGGATTTGATCTGGTGGTCAGTCCACCCATCTCCATCCAGAAACTGCTCCTTGAAGTAGGTGCTGGATTCGGCAGCAGCTAGGCCGAGGAGGCCGAGCAGCAGCGGACGAGTAGCAACATGGCAGGCCGAGGGGGCGGCGGTGCACAGGCCCTTTAAGTCGGTTCCCCAGCAGCAGCTCTGCAGTGGGGACTTTTGATCCTTTTTTGTGTTTGCTCTTCTATCTTAGTAGTGTTGAGAGATTTATCTTCTAGCTCACTAGTTCTGGCTTCTATCTCTTCAATTCTTTGTCCTTTCAGTGTGTTGTCCATTTCTGATATCCTATTATTAATTGTTTGGACTTCTTTCTGTAGGTTCTGAATAGTTTCCAATGCTGTATCTGTCTTATTTGATTGTGCCTGTAGCACTTCCCCGACTTCTTCCTTATTGTTCTCAAGTCCATTGTAAAGTGTTTTGATACATTTTGTAATCATTTTTCTGAATTCCTTCTCAGGCATTTCCAAAGCCTGCCCTCCTTCTAATATGAAGTTTAGGTCTACCTCCAGCTCATTCATCTCAGTCACTTTATCTTGTTTCTGGACATGTGCTGATATGGTCATCTGCTTTTGTTTTTTGGGCATATTCAGTAGTTAGCTATGGCCTTAAAACTTAGATGAGTGTGTGTTTTGGCATTTTTTATGTTTTCTGATTGCCTTCAGGTAGATGTGATCAGGATGGGCTTCCCTTTTCACTCTTTTTCCTGAAAAATTTCAACATGCCACTGCTGGTCGTTATGACGTAACTCAGGATTTAATTTTCAGCCTGTTTCCTTTGCTCCACAATCCCTGTTCAGACCTTTTTCTTAGTGATAAACAGTCCCAGGCTGGCTGTAGCCGTTTTGCACCGCCGTTTGGTTTTAAGTGGAAACTATCACTTTAAATTTTGAGGAGATCTGTGTGCATGCGTAGTAGAACCCTCTGAGGGTGGGGGGTAGAGTGTCCACTCGCTCAGGCACCCCCTCTAGTCACCAGAATGGTGGTGCGCAGACAGTGAGAGATCAATAAACAGATAAGAAAAAAAGAATGTCCACACCTGTATCTCTACGGTTCTGTCAGGTGTCTGTCATGGCTCTGATCCTTCCCTAGTTCGATCTTACCCAAAATGGCCGCTCAGGGAGCAGTTGAGCACCTTGGATTAGAAAGCACTGGATTTCTTGCTTCTGCTACAAGTTCCACTGGCTGTAAGCTTTCCAACTTTCTAAATATTCCTTTATAAGTGGTTCTGGGACCATCCCCTGAGCCTGCTTTGTCCGGTAATCTGTGTTGTTGCTGACGGAGCTCCTCACTGTATGTCCACCCAATCTGCCATCTTGTTTGTTCTCTCAAGAGTTTCTTTTCTTGACAGAAGGTATACTGGTTAATATTAGATGCCAATGTGGCTAGCTATGACTTCCAGTGGTTTTGCAGACACTGAAGGAGAAATTGATGGCCACTGCTGTGGCAGCTACCTGTGACCATGAAGAAAAGGTCAAAGCCAAGAGCCTCTCAGAAAAAGTGATTTTGACATTGATGGAACCACCAAAACAAAACAAGCAACACCTACCTCTGGGCTTCTCGCCAGGTGAGAAAAATAAACCCCTCTTGGTTTAAGCCACAACCATTAGGTTTCCATTACTGGCAGCCCCATACATTCCTCGACTCACTTAAGCTTGACAAGACTTTCTGCTGAAGGGTAAGTGCTGTCTGATTTATAAATGAGGAAACTGAGTCTTGTTGCAAGTAAGTATTTTGTGCAGGATTTGCAGACTTAAAATTGCCATGCATGTAACCACTAAGCACTTTTCCTCATCTGAAACGCCCTTTCACTACTAAATCCAATTCATCTTTCGGTGTAATCCTGTCAGGCTTCCCCTCAGCACTCCAGTCCACCAACCATTGCTTCTACTACGCTTGTAGAGTCTAGAAATTTCAGGTTGTCTTCTCTTTCTAAGCAGGCTGTTAAATCCTTGTGGATGAATCCATATCCCATTTCTAGGTGGTAAGCAACCCTTTTCTTATATACCTGCCGACAACAGCGTCGTCCTGCGTTCGATACCATTAGCGTACTGAGCACTCTGACTCAGACATTTAACTTCTCTGTTCATCAGTCTTCCTGTCTGGCCGGTTCCAGCTGGACAATAGAGAGCACGTTGCTCAGCTTCGCAGAGCTAGGAGATCACCAAGTTTCTATGGTATCGCAGGCTGCTAGTGTTCCCAGAAACAAGACAACACACACTTGACCATCAGCAATGTCTGTGACAAAGAGCCTCATCAAAGGAAAGGGCACAAGCACCCAACAGTCACCATCTTACTGAGCATACAAGCTTTGACACACTAACTAAACGGCCCCAGACCTACTCCTGAGTGGAAGGGATTTGGAGAACAGATGCCGTTCTACTAAGCACATCGCCCAGCTATCCAGTGCTGTAGACGTGGCTCAGCAGCTCCTGAACTGATGCTCAAAGTGGACAGTAGGGAACATGCCTTCAAGAAAGGCAACAAAGCCTTCTTTGGAGAAGGAGGAGCCAGTTTTTTATACTTTTCAAGAGGCTCCCAGGAAAGTGGCGAGCTGCCTGAGCAGCACAGACCTGAAGCCACATGGAAGGTGAGAATAACTGAGGAGTGGCTGCAAAGGACAAAGACGATGGACAGACTGGGTCTCCTAGCCTTTAGCAGGGGCGGACTCGCCAGATCCACCAGGTGGGACTGCCCAGTGAGCCACTGCAGGAGGATAAGTGCTGCTTTCCCCTGGTCAGTCTCCAGAACACAGCCTGCTGGGAGAAGAGGGGCCTAGCGCATACTCAGATACTGCCAGGGGCCACTTCTCCCGCAGAGCCACACCTGGGTCTTACTCTTTATTGGATTTGACTCACTCTGGAAGGCAGAAGGAGGCAAAGGAAAAAAAGTTCTTGCTCAGTTGGCAAAGAAAGAAAAGGGATGAATTTTGATATTTTAGAGGGTATGAAGCCCTGGTGTGGCACTGTAGGATAAGCACTGGACTGCTAAACTGCAGGGTCTATGGTTCAAAGCCACCAGGGTACCTACTGAGTCATAGCAACTCTGTGTGCAGGCTATAGTTCATCAGACACCCAACACAAGGTCTCTATGACCTGTGCTTAACAAGAGAAGTCAGAAGAGTGGATGGACTCTTCAAGCAGAGATTCTAAAAGTCATGTGGTCCCAATTAGAGCTTAATTCAGTTTCCGGTATCTTAACCTTCAGGTAAGGCTCCCTGGTTTGCACAAATGGTTAAGCACTCAACTACCAGGCAAAAGGTTGGTGGTCAGAAAGAGGTGCCTCAGAAGACAGGCCCAGCCTTGCAAACTCTGTGGGGCAGTTCTCCTCTGCATACCCAGTATACAGAGTCTGCACCAACACTCGCACCAACTGGCAACTGACAAGAGAGCGGAAGTTGTCAGAGGTGGCCCCACCCTTTCTCCCACATCAGAGTGACCGCCACTCACTCTCAGACGTCCTTGCTAAGCTGCTTCAGGCTGGGCTCCTCAGCTACCCTGGCCCGTTTGCTGAGTTCTTCCCCAGGTGGCTCCTCAGCTGCTTCCAGTTTGCGTTTGGGGGACGCTGGGCCACTGGGTAATAGTCTTGGGCCTGGAGGGAAGAATGTCAAAGGGTCACATAAACTGAGTTAGAGACAGATGCGCCAGGGTTGGGGCCTGCTCACTGCTGGGATGCCGACTGGCGATTATCTGGCAGGCCTCTCGGCCTTCCTTCAGCAGGGACCTTGCCTAGAAGGGTCTGCAAGGAGGGGGACAGGCTTGCCAGAGCAGGGCCAGCATCCGGGCTCCATCTCATAGGTCTGAGAACAGAGACTGAAGTGGCCCATCTGCTGTCCTTGCTCTGAAAGCGAGACTTTCTTTTGCTGCTCTGAGGCTGACCTGCCAGAGCAGGAACGGGCACAGCCTCACCCAGATCCAACCTGATGGGCAAGTAAGGAGGACTCTGGCAGTCTCACTTTACTGAGCTTCCTCCCCGATCCAGAGGCAGGAGGTTCATCTGCTGCAAATCTGGCTGTTTCTCTCATTCCTACCACTGTTCCCCTAACCCCCTAACCCTGCCACCATCTCTTGTGTGGACGATGCCAGCCTCCTCCTAGCCTCCCTGCCCACCCCGTCCACTCCCACCTGGCAGGCCTAAGTCAAATGATGACTCTCAATCTGCCCGGGACTCTGTAGCACAGCCTCGTCCACTCTAGCTCCTCCCTCAGAACATTCTAGTCACTCCGGCCTCCTTCCCCTCGTTAAGCTAGTGTTTGTCTCTGGGTCTTTTCTTGTCTGTCCTGTTGCCTGGACCATTCTTCCTCCAGGTTGTGGTGAGTCTGTCTCCTGCTCTTCTCTACTCAGATAGGCATGCCTCCAAGTAAACACGTACTCACTCCCTCCCTGGCCAGGCTCGCTTTTTCTCTCCCCACAGCACTTGGCAAGGGGTTATCTTCCTCGGTCCCACTGAGGTCTGTCTCCCTAGGTGGAATCTAAGCTCCACTGAGAACAGGTCCTCAGCAGCCCTGGGGTTTTGGGACGGTCAGGTCACTCACCTGCACTGCTCAGGACCCCGGCCTGGCTAGGGCTGGGCTCAGCCACAGGGTTGCTGAGGTCTTCCACACAGGAAGGGACGGATGCCAGGAGACCTGGGAGAGGGGTGAGGGGGCAGGTGTGTCAGGACTGCAGAGGCCGTGGGGCAGGAGGAACATACTCAGATGACAAGGTGTCATCTCTTCCCATCACCCCACAACCTCTCAGGGAGGCCCTGGGAAGCCAAGTCAGCAGAATAGCCTAGAAGACAGCATTCTGGAAATCCGCCCCGCCTGCTCTGTTTGGAGCCCACAGGTGAGCCGGGGGTGAGAGGGGTGGGACAGTGGCTGCTTACAGAGTCCCTGGTAGCGGGAGAGCTGCTGGTAGATCTGCTTCATTCGCTCGATGTTAAGCCGACTGGTCTCAGCATGGCTGACAATGGGCCGTGGGTAGTCCACACCAATGATGCACTTGGCTGCTTTCTGAATCGGCTCAGGGGCATTCCAGGGCTCGTAGATGTAGCGAGCGGGGAAGCCTTTCAGCTTGGGTAGGTAGCGCCTGAGACAAACACACCAACAACCCATCAGCATGCTTGGACCTGCCGTCAGCAAACCCAGGGTCTCCCACCCGAGGAGGAAGTGGCGGAGCCCTTACCTGATGTAGTCCCCACTAGGGTCCGTGCGGCGGCCGAAGCCCACGGGGCAGTAGCAGTGGAAGAACTGCTGGAAGAAGGCACTGCAGGACAGCCACATCCAGCTACCTGCATTGACGCTGAAGTCTGCGTCTAGGAGCAGCTCGTCGAACACCTGTAGGGGTGGGTGGGGACTCATTGCCACAGCCCCCGACCACCCATGATTGAGAAGGCGGGATCGTTGAGTGGGCTTTGGAAGACAGCTTCTGGATCCGGGGTCCCAGACAATTCCATGACCCCGAATGGGACTGCCCTTTGCTGGGCCTGGCTAGAGAGGGCCAGGCTGCTTCCTGTGTCGAGGGTACTCACCCGGACCCCGCTCTCCCAGCTGACCCAGAGGTCCCCGCGGGTGAGGAAGCAGGCCACGGCGTGCCGGGCCAGGTGGTGGATCCAGCCCTCCTGCCTCAGTTGGGTCATGATGGCATCAATCCAAGGGAAGCCCGTCTTGCCCTCGGCCCACTTGGCTAGAGCCTCGGGGTTGCGGTCCCAGGGGATCTGGATGCAGATGGGGTTGCCCTCCATGCGGTCGAACCTGGGGTTGTTGGTGGCCGCAGTGTAGAAGAACTCTCGCCACAGGAGTTGCCCAAACAGGGAGAGGGGAGGTGTGCTGTTCCTCTTCACCTGAGCAGGGAGGGCAGCACATGAATACATGCACTGCCTGACCTTTGGCACTATGCTCTTCAGGTCCCTCCCATAGAGGGATCTGCAGACACCACACACTTGGTGGCTCCAAACCCCTTAGACCTAAGGGAAGACTACAGCCTGGCTGGAGCTGGGCTCGCAGCCACACAGAAGGTCAGAGGATCACAACTCCTCTCTGCAAGGTCCCAGGCTCTGGCTGTGCGGTTCTGTGGTGAGTGGAAAGGGTTATCTTGGCAGGATTCTGTGTGAGGAACAGGATGGCCCAGGACTGGCCATGACCCTGGGCTTCAAGGGGCCCTGTCTGGCTCCATTCTCTAGAATGTCCAATGGATGTTTGCCCTCAGCATGCACAGCAAATGCTGTCTATAGTTTGTCACACAAGTGACAGACACCAGCCTGAATCTGGGGATGAGAGGGGATGGAGAGAGGGCAGTTCTCTATTCCATGTAAATAATGATGTCCTTAAAATCACAAGCAATCCACCAAAGGGGCACAACCACCTATGCTGCCAAATCCCGATGCTGGCACGGATAAGGAGATGACAGGAGGGAGACTGCTGGGTATGACTATGGCTGTTTCCCACCCGGGAATGTGAGGACACGGCTGACATGGCTATCTGGCCAGCATGCAGCCCCTCGGAGTATGTTTTCAATGTCCTGGAGCAGCCCCCAGACAGTGGCTGTGCCCCTCAGTCTAGACCTGGCTGCAGTCATCCCCTCCCAGCCTCCCACCCACCTACACCATGCCAACCTGCCAACTTTAGGCCACCCCCAGGGGCTCGATTTTCTGCCTTGTCTGTTCTCCACGATGGGCTGCCTCGGCCTTCTCTCAGGCTGTGCTCCTAGTTTCTCTGGACCTCAGGAGATACCAGCCAGCCCATCCGCTCCCAGGCCCACTCCCCACCTTTTTATACAGGTCCCACAAGCGGTAATAGAAGAGGCGACAGGAGAGGCAACCAAAACGCAGGTAGGGGCTGAGGCCGGTGGGGCTGGCCAGCAGGGAGTTGGCGTTCATTCGAGGTCTCTCATAGTTGGCAACCCAAGCCTGCAGGGGAAAGAGAAGAGGAAGAAAAGGCCTGGAAAAGCCTGCTGGCTTCCTGGTGTGATTCCCAGCTGGGGGTGGCGCTGGTTCAGAGAAGTGGTCAGTGCTTGTCCTCTGGCTCCCCATTTTCTCCATGTCCTCTCTGCCACCACCTCCTTCAGGACGCCTGGGTCTCTGACTGCCCTGACAGACAAGCTCTCCTAGCAGCTCGGACTCCCACCCCTCCATGTGCCCCCTAGCATACACATGCTCCTAGACACACAAATCCCCCTCCAGTTGGCATTTCTTATGCTAGTTGCTCATATGCACATTCAAGTTGAAGTTGAAGAAAATGAAAATAGGTCTGCGAGAACCAAAGCATGACTTTATGGATATCCCATCTACATTCTGAGACCATCTCAAGAATAGATTTGACAATGAACACTAATGACTGAAGACTAAAAGACTTGTTTGATGGCATCAAGGACATCGGACATGAGAAACCTAAAGGTCATTAAAAAGATAGGAAAGAAAGAACAGAGCAAAATGGATATCAGAAGGGACTCTGAAACTTGCCCTAGAATGAAGGGAAGGTAAAAGTGAATAGAAGAAATGAAGTAAAAAGAGTTTGAAAGAAAATTTCAAAGGATGGCTCAAGACAATGTAGAGTATTATAATGAAATGTGTTAAGACCTGGAGTTAGAAAACCAAAAGGGAAAAACATGCTTGACATTTCTCAAGCTGAAAGAACTGAAGAAAAAATTTAAGCCTTGAGATGAAATAGTGAAGGATTTTATGAATTAGAAAACTGAATGATGCAGGAAGCATCAAAAGATGCTGGCTTCAATGTCTGATGATCAGAACTCAACTAGAAGAAGAAAGAAGAGGAAAAAAAAAGAGTAATCGGATACAATTTGATGAACTTGACCTGCACCTATGGATGCAGTAGCTCAAAAGAGGGAACAAATCTTTACAGCAAGGATCATTCCCACCCACTCCATACACAGAGTAGACAGGGATGGGCAACTTGGACATTGGCTACCCAAAGTGTGTGTGCGTGTGTGTGGGGGTAGGAGTGGGGGCAGGGGCTACAAAGGCAAGAAGTGACTGGCTTACAAGCTTTCAAGAGGGAACCTAGATCCAGAGGATGTGGAGGAAGGTAAAATCTCCACTGAGTAGTATCCAACCTATCTAGGTGGGGCTGATGAATGCGGATAGGTCACTTGTGATATAATAGTGAATAACTGAATTGTTATCAGGACTGATTGTAAGGGATGGAAATGTAAAGATTTTGTAGCTAGGAGGGGAGTGATTAACTTTGCAGTCTAGGAGTGGAGGTCCCTGGAACCATCAAGGGAGAAGAGCGGAGAGCAGGACCCTACCTAGAGAAGTAGTGACACCAGAGATGGAGGCAGAGACGATGACAGAGAGATGGAGCAGCTGGGGACTTTAGATCCAGAGAGGGAGGGGGCTGTGTGCTGACAACTGGGGGGCAGGCTTGCAGGGTATACCCTTTGGTTGGTTGATGATGCATGGGTGGGACTGTAACCATGGCAATGAAACAATATACAACAGAATGAATGTAAAACTAATGTTCTCCCATGTAAACTATCACATAATTCACAATAAAACATTAAAAAAAAAAGAAGACGAAGAGATGCAAGGAATACACAGAGTCACTGTACCAAAAAGAACCTGGTGGACATTCAACCATTTCAGGAGGTTAGTATATGATCAAGAACCAATGGTCCTGAAGGAAGACATCCAAATTACACTGAAAGCAGTGGCGGAAAACAAGGTTCCAAGAATTGACGAAACACCAATTGAGATGTTTCAACGAAAGGATGCAATGCTGGAAGCTATGCAATGCTTGGTTATGCCCAAGAACTTGGAAGACAGCTACCTGACCAACCAAGTAGAAGAGATGCCTATTCCAAAGAAAGGTAACCCAACGGAACGGAGACATTATTGCACAACAACATTAATATGACATGCAAGTAAAATTAGACCAAAGATAACTCAAAAGCAATTGCAGTAGCATATTGACAGGAAACTTCCAGAAACTCAAAAGAGGATATGGAACAAAAGAGGTACCATTGATGGTGGCAGGAGGATCTTGGCCTAGAATACCTGAAAGATGCTTACTTGTGTTTTCTTGACTGTGCAAAGGCATTCAAATGTGCAGACCATAATAATTATGGATAGCACTACAAAGAATGGCAATTCCAGAACACTTGATTGTGCTCACGGAATAAGAGGCAGTTGTTTGAACAGAACAAGAAGATACTGTGTGGTTTAAAATCAGGAAAAGTATATACAGCAGGGTTGTATCTTTTCATCAAACTTATTCAACCTATGCTGAAAAAGCAGTACTGCAGTAAGAATAAATGGCATCAGGATCGGTGCAATACTTATTCATAAGCTGCGATGTGCAGGTGATACAACCTTGCTTGCTGAAAAAGAAGAGAATTTCAAGTACTCACTGATGAGGATCAAAGACTACAGCCTTCAGTATGTATTTTACCTTTCCACAAAGAAAGCAAAAATTCTCACAATACTATGACAGTGGGAAGAAAAAGTCGATGTTAGCAAGGATTTCATTTTACTTGGATCCACAATCAACGCCCATGGAAGGTTCCATGGCAAGAAATCAATGTACTGCACTGGGTAAATCTACTGCAAAAGACTTCTTTAAAAGTATTAAAAAGCAAAGATGTCACTTTGAGGACTAAGGTGCACCAGACCCAAGTCACGGTATTTTCAATTGCCTCATATGCATGCAAAAGCTGGTCAATGAATAAAGGAGACCAGAGAACTGATGCCTTTGAATTTTGGTGTTGGCGAAGAGTACTGAATACAAGACGGACTGCCAGAGAATGAATAAATCTGTCTTAGGAGAAGTACAACCAGAATGCTCCTTAGAAGCCAGGCTGGTGGGGACTTCATGTTGAGTACTTTCCACATGTCATCAGGAGGGATTAGTCCTAGAGAAGGACATCAGGCTTGGTAGAGCAGGGGTTCAGTGAAGACGAGATGGACTGACATAAAGGCGGCAATGATGGCTCAAGCATAGGAGCGATTCTGAGGCCGCCGCAGGACCAGACAGCGTTTCGTTCTGTTGTATACAGGGTCACTATGAGTCAGAACCAACTCTACAGCATCCAGCAACAACATGCTAATTTATACTAAGGTGATACAGGATTCACAGGATACTTTCATTCAGTCTTTTAAAACCCTAACTCTTGACTCAGGAACAAACTGCTAGTGGCTGCATTCTATACATAATGCGGTATGTTTGGGGAAAGGGGTTTTGGCAGAAGCCTCACAGGCAGCCACCTATTTTATCTGTTTGAAAAGCCAGCCTTACTCGGGGGGTGGGGGCGGGTGGGAAGATTCTCATTTCCCTTTGTGACAGGGACCACACAAATAAAAAATAGATAGCCCCTGCTTTCAAGTCTATTCTGACTCAAGGTGACGACGAGGACTCCATGTGGACAGAGCAGCATTGCTCCACAGGGTTTCCCTGGCCGTGGTCTTTACAGCAGCAGACTGCCGGAGTCCATGGCACCACGGGGTGTGGCTTAGACTACCCGCTTTTGGTCGGTAAGCATGCCACATGGGTATAATCTTATTTATCCCACTTGGTAAGTAGTGTTACTCTGAAGATCCAGAGGAGAAAATGAAGCACAGAGTGGGTGCACAGTCTGCCTAAGGTCACAGCACAGAGAGCACAGTCAACCTCTTTACAGGATTCACTCCAAGAACGGGACGAGTTCGTTCACTTTGCTGTTTTGAAAACAAAACAAAAACTTCTGGGGTTCTACACACAGGTTCTCTCTCTTCCCTTCACAGTCGACCGCTTTCCCGTATCTCCAGGTTTTAGCCACCCACTCAATCAAACTGGCTCCCACCGAATGCTGAGCCATCTGAGTGGGACAGAGAAGACTGTGACTTTCAGGACCAGTCGATAAATCAGCTGTTGTTGAATACGTGCCGACTCATATTAACCCAATGCACAAGAGAACGAAACACTGCCTGGTCCTGCGCCATCCTCACAATTGGTCCTATATTAGGGTCCACTGTGGCCGCCACGGTGTCAGTTCATCTCAGTGGGGTCTTCCTTGACTTTAGCAATCATGATGCCCTTCTCCAGGGGCTGGTCTCTCCTGACAACATATCCAAAGTCCATGAGATGAAAATAAAAGTCAGTTGTAGGGACAGGAAACTGGGAGCTGACTGCTCTCAGCAGCCGCAAGCAGCTCCTCGGCAACTCTTATTCCAGGTGGGACACCGCTGTGGCTTCTTCCTTCCTGATGCCAAGGCTCACTTCCTGGGAGGTGGGCTTCTATGTGCAAGCAAATGGAAAGGCACACCAGAGTGGGGACACAGCCCTACACAGCATGGTTGACCTCATGCATGATAGGGACCAGACAGGCACAAATTTGAGAAAGGTGACCCAGCACCAGCTTCAGAAGCACCGAGACCAAGGGCTCACTCTGCTCCTGACTGTGACCCCGGGTAAGTTCCTCAGCCCTGCAAAGCCTGGAGGTCCTAGTCAGTCAGAGTATGCAGTACTTACCTTCTCGGCCTGTTGCAAAGATGCAAGGAGACAATGAGAGCAAGTTCTTAGCCCAGAAATGTCCAGGCTGGTAACTGGCAGGTGGCTATTATTTATTAATGATTATTATCACTATCAGGAAGATTTTCATTTTCCCACCAGTTGGAGCTGCGAGACATGAAGGGATATTCATCTGACCTGTAGTTCCTGGGTCTCAGAAAAGGGGGCCCATACCTTCCGTTCCAAGTGCTTATCCAGGCGGGCCAGGGCTTCTGTCTCTCCTCCTTGCCAGACAGCTGGGCCAAGTCCTTCAGTGGGGAACCCTGCAGGACGAGGGAAAGGCCAGGGGTTGAGAGCCCTGACACAGAGGGCACTGAGGCACAGTGTCGTTGGCAATACCGGGGCAATGGCGTTTCCGTGGGCTTGAAGTCATCCCCGCCCCCATCCCAGACACTCGGCCTTCCAGGCCGGGGGAGCAAACCTGGACTTCTTGCCCTTTTAGGCTAACTGGCAACAACTGTGGTTTTCAGGTGTGACAGTTACCTCTGTTCTGATCATAACACTGGGGGAGGAGGTGTAAGTGGGAGAAAGGGTGTGGTGAGTGACCCGAGAGGCTAACAGATTAGATCCCCTTCCCACAGAGGCACTGAGATTCCCCAAGGCCAGCACCAGGTGGGCCTGGACCCTTAGAAGCGTGACCACACATGTGAACACCAGGAGACTGGACTAAGCATGGCTGTCTCTAGGGGCAGGGGTAGTGACTGCTGGCTCGGCTCTTGCTTTGCTATATTGTTGCAGAACAACAAAGAAGAAAACCTGTGGAGCCCTTCAGGAGAAGACGGACACACAGTTACAACACTGGACTCAGACACACCGAGCGAGGAGCGTGAGAGAGACGATGTGGGGTGGGACCAGGCAACGTTTCCTACTCTGGTACGAGGGGGGCTGACAGGAGTGCGTACCCAGTTCCTCCAGAGAGGGCACACCATACGTCTCGTCGTGGTTCTCCTGGATCTCTGCCCCACAGCTCTCCATCTGCTGGCTGCTCACCGGGCCCACGGGCTTCCTGGGTAGCTCCATGCGGCTGACGATGGCCTGGAAGCGCTTGTAAGTCAGAGGTGGCTTCTGCCCATTCAGCTCGATGATTCTGAGAGTTCCAAACGTGCCCAACGTCACTCACAAGGCCCACCCCAAAGAGCTGAGCCTTTCAAGGCTCATCACTCACAGCCCTGTCCTTCTGTGGGAAGGAGCAGGCATGGGAGGCTACATCTCTGTTTCACTGATAAGAAAACGAAGCTCAGAGAGCTGGAACCAGTGCCTCAGGGAATGGACAAGGCAGGGCCGAAGTCTGGATGTAAGATGGGGTTGTCGGGTGCCTGCGCGGAGCCCTAAAGGCAGACACTGACCATATCTTTCTAATCACAGAAAAAGCCCTGCTTGCCCACGTGGTACTCAGCCTATACATGCAAGCACAGGGTCCCCTGGGCCTTCCTCTCGAACCCAGCGTGCACCCTGGCTAAAGATCTAAGAGCTGTAAACGTGCTCCGTTCTGCCCCCATTTACTAGAGCAGAGCAGCAGAGAACAGCCTGCCTTCCCCAGGCACACACCGTGGCTGGAATGCCAGTTTCAGGAGCAAAGACACAGATTCACGTGTGCCACAGGAAAGAGAGAGGAGGGTGGAGGGGTGAACTGAGGCTGTTTACATAGGAAGAATTAGGGTGGTTTGGAGCCAGATTCCCGGAGCTCTTGCTGGCTGAGAAGCAGCTTACGCAAGGCCTGGATGGCTGAGTTCATTTCTCATTTGGCTCTCCCTCTCTCTCCCCCTCCATTTGCGGAGATAGAAGGTCAGCAGTACCTCCTGCCTTCTGTGGCACGTGGCTGGAGGTGGCGCTCCTCCTGAAGGCCCAGCTCACATGCAGAGCTGCGGGAAGCGGCCTCCAGAGGGCAGGAGGTGGGGGCGTCTAGGGAAGGTTCCTTCCTGGCCTCTGAAAGCTGAGAGGCCCACCTGCCCGCCCCAGGAGACCTTGGGGACTAGTGATCAGCTCCCTGCAGGGACAGCTACAGGCTCCTGAGCCACATGGAAGTGCATGGCCTGGAAACCCAGATAGCAGGGAAGTCCACAACAGAAACTGGGCCTGTCAGAACAGACATGTGTCACCCAAGTCACAGGGTAGCCTCAGAGGCACAGATGGGGCTGCAGTCATTGTCTGGGGAGCAGGAGCAGTTCTAGGAAGACCCTTAGAGGGGATCACACTTCTGTTCCTGAGGCCCAACAAGCACATACAGCTGTTTGTAACCCAACCCTGACCTATTCTCCTCCAGCTTCTAGAAAATGGCCCTACTGCTGACCCTGCTCAGTTCTGCTCAGCAGGGGCCCAAATCACCAACCCTCACATCTGGCCACCTGATCCCCCCCACTCACCTGTCCAGGTCATAGAGGGTGTGTGAGTTCTCGGTCACCACCTCCACACCAGCCTCCCTGGCCAGCTTCATAATGGCTGCGTCCCGTTCTTTCCCAAAGGGTTCCGAGTCATACTCGAAGGTCAGGCGGGTCACCCCCCATTCCTGTGGGGAGAGAAGCCATTGAATGGGTGAGAATGTGTGTGTGTGGAGATATGGCAGAGGGGGCTGCAGGGTAAACCAGAGACAAGGATTTCAACAGGACAGCAAAGCACCTGGGGTGGTCAGGTTTGGGGTAAGGCCAGCAGCACAGCAGTGGGGCTTCTGAGGGAGATGGTCTCTGTGAGGCCACAAGAGAGCTGCCGTGTCCTGGCAATCCTCCCAGAAAGAGCACTGACTCATTGGCGAAGGCAGCACGGGTAGGATCACCACCTCCCATTCCCGTCTGCCCGGGGAGCCTTCCCCAGCATGCCTCACAGCCCTGCAAGCTTGTGGCCTGGTTTTCTTGGCAAACCTGTGAGATGGGAAGTGTCCTAGTGGTTTCCACAGCAACCCTCCCGAGGCCAACAGCAAACAGAGCTAATCAGCTCCAGCACTCAGTCTGAGGAGGAGGAGCCAGCGTGTTCAGGCCTCAGAGAATTCAGAGACTAGAGGGACTACATATTTAAAAAGGGGGTTCTTTTCCAAGCTCTTAGTTATTTCTGGTAGGAATTTCTAGACCTTTTAACAAGGCTGAGAGAAACCTAGCCCAGTGAAAGGCTGTCAGAAAACCCACAGAAGGCCCCAGCAAGAGGCAAAACACATTCCAACCAAAGTTTCTGGTCCCTTAAGAGCTCTGCAGCCCTGGACAAAGGCCCTCACCCATGCCTGCTGGGGTAGGCACAGGTCCTCAGCAGGCTGGGATCCCAAAGCTAAGAGCAGACCAATAGCCCAAACTCTGACTCACAGAGATCCTCTAGGACAGAGCAGGACTGCCCTGTGGAGTTTCCAAGGCTGTGTTCTTTATGCAAACAGACTGAAACATCTTTTCTCTTGTGGAGTGACTGGTGGGCTCAAACCAGCGGCCAGTCAGTTAGCCGCTCCTTGGAAACCCTGGACAGGGTCGCTATGAATTGGAACTGATTCAACGGCACATACCGTTTCAAACATTTATTGAGCCTGCATGCTGAGCCAGGTACAATGCTTAGTGGTTCCTAGATGAATTATTAAATACTTCTCATAACCCTGCAAATAATAATAACAATATTATTACACCTCAAAGAAGCCTTCCTTGACCTCCTCCTTCAAGAAATGCCCTGTGCCTTGCCTGTTTTCCATCACACCATTGATCACCTGGCAAGAAGGCCGCAGTTCGTGGCCTGGCTCCCGGTTCAAGTGTGAGCACTCCGAGGCTGGCAGTGTCCCACTGCTGGTGACCCGAGGACCTAGTGTGGGGCCTAGTACGTCACAGCAGGAGCTCAATGATTAGACGTGGAAGGAAGGAATGAACGAGCTCTCTGAGGTACCAGGGCCATGGGGACAATGTGGTGGGAGAAGGGAGGCAAATGTCTGAGGGTGGTGTGGTGGTCAAGGAAATACACTGGCTCCAAGCCTAGACCACCACTTATGAGCCTACAGACCAGGGGGCACCTGGTCAGTGGGTTTCCACGTCTGTAAAACTGGGAGAAGAGGATCTGCCTCGAGAGTTGCTATGAGAAATCTGAGTTGACGTATGACGTATGTAAAGCACTCAGAACACTGTCTGACGCAGCCAGGCCTCAGTCAGCATTAGCTGTGTTGTACTGTGTAATCTGTGTAACGTGTGTGTGTGTATGTGTGTGTGTGTGTGTGAGAGAGAGAGAGAGAGGGCAGTGAATGATGGAGCATTTACTTTCCTTCAGTCTTCTCCCCCAGGAAGAGGAGGGAGCCATGGGGGCTGAAGGGAGACCTGTGTTTGAGGACTTTTCCCATTATTTGGGCCTTCAGGTGTGCTTTCTGAAGGGGCTAAGGGAAAGCACTTGGCCACCTGGTACAGCAAACAGAGGCTGCGTGGTACTCAAATGAAGATTTTCTGCATCATTTACCCCTGGGCAAGCCTTCAGAAAGACTGACTTTATTATTCACAATCAGCAAGACAGGAAATGCCCCTTGCCATACAGAAAGTCCCATCCTCAAGCTCCTGGCACAGGATAAGCCCTAAGCAAACAGGGGGGGCAGGGGGGGATTCCTCGAAGACACCAGCTTCACAGAAATTTTCCCTTCCCACAGTTTCCATTCCATTAGCAATCCGACCAGCAGCCTTTGCTCCTGACTTCCCTAGCAGCAGCAGTCAGACCAACCCCTTCTGTGTCCCCACTCCACGCCATTCATATCTGCGGGGATCCTGGAGAAGCAGATGCTGTGTCCTCTCAGCCGGCCACGCACACTCACCTTGAACAGCCTTGGGAAGACATCAGCTGGCTGGCCCCGGACTACAAACAGGCGGGAGTTGAGTGTCCTTAAACTCGTGTCCAAATCTTCCAGAGACTGAAGTAGAAACCTGCAGAGTCCACCACATGGGCCTTGTGAGTGCGGAGACAACCTGTCCCAACAAAACCCTGAGACCTGCTCTGCTGTGTGCCAAATGGCTCCAGGATGGCCAAGGCCTGGGGTCAAATCCAGGAGTGAGACCTAGTGGGATCAGGACCACCTGGTTGGGACCTGGCTTTGCCTCTACTAGGGGTGTGACCTGAGCGAGTTACTGACCTAGTTAACCTGTTTCCTCACCTGAAATAGGGAGTTAAGTGTTAGTACGTCTGTTGGAGAATTGCTCAGACGAAGTCAAACAACTCATGGAAAACATTTCCACAGGGCCTGGCCTGTGGAAAACACTGGTAAATGCAAGCTCCTCCTACTGTTGCTGTTTCTACAAGATCCCTCTCAGCCCCAGGCCCTGGCTACAGGGTGGCATGATACACCCAGTTGGTAACTTAGGGTGATGCTGCTGTGTAGAAGCATGAAGAAAAGGAACAAGACTGCAAAAGCCCACCTGCCCTGGCCTGAGAGCTGGCTTGCCCAGATTCAGGTCTCTGAGCTGCATATATGAAGGGGCTTCAGAAAGTTCACGGACAAATGGAATGAAAAGATAATGGAAGTTTTCCGTGAACTTTCTGAAGCCCGCTCATATTTCCACTGCCACACCTCTCCAGGGCTCTGGTCACCTGCTTTTCCTCCCCTAGAAGAACCTTCTTGATAAGGCTCTCCTCCTAGGATACCTCTCACCCACTGGGTGCTGTGGATATTCAAGAGCTTTCATCAAGAGAGGACTATCAAGCTGAGCTTGCATCACCCAGAAAAGGGCACTCACATTTGCTGAGCACCTTCAGTGTTATTCTGAAATTAAATCACGTTACGGTCCAACGTACAACCCATCACGAGGATGATGTGGGCTTGGCAGTCCTTTGCGCCATCTAACATGTGACACCAGGGGTTGGAAGCTTACCTCACAGCAGCTGATGACAACAACACTCGAAACAGGGGACCATTCACACTCAAGTTAGAAAACGGTGCACAGACAGAGCCTCACCTCTCCACAGGCAACCAATGTTAACATTTCCTCATTTAGCCCTTTCAACACATTTTGAAGAGAGATGTTATTATCATTGTTTTACAGATGAGGAAACTGAGGCATGAGTGAATTAATTTGTCTGTGATCACAGCTAGTAAGTGACAAAGCTGGGACAGGAGCCTCAGTTGGTTGGGCTCTCTGTGCACCATTTCCAGAGCCTTGTAGGCATGCCAGACACTGTGGTAGGTAGGTGTCTGGTAAGTGGTAGGTGCTGGGTTTTGTAGGACCTCAGGTATTTCCAATTGGTTTCTCTGGCAAATGCCACCCATTTGCCCTTCCTCTTCAGGAAGTCAGCCCTGACATGGTAACCTGCATTCTACCAAGACACTCTGTCTACCCTTTGGCACTGCCCACCCATCCAGCCCCCACAGACTGTCAACCATGGGAGTGGGATAAAGATGGGGCCTCCTGGGCAGCAACCACATTCTCCACTCGCAGAGTGTGGGTGGCCCTAGGTTCCCAGATGCCAACCAGAACCAGCCCACACGGCTGCTGCTGACATACAGAACCTGCCACACTCCCAGGGTGGCGAAGGCCACACACCTATATTCCAGCCCAGGCAAGTCCAGGCTCAGACCAAAGTATGGGGCCTCTCCCAGGGACTGCCGTGGAAGGCTCTACCAGGTCCACCACTGCCCTGTGCCAACCAGGAGCCCTGCCTCCATGACTTCCAGGTTTTAAAAAACTGACCCCCCCCCAGGAAAGGAAAGGGGACAAAAGTCACGTGTTAGTGTTGGCTTCCTCTGAGGCCTCGCCATACCTCCCAGATGGAAAAAAAGAGATGCAAATAGCTGCATGTCACCTGAGCCCTGGGATCCGGCAGGTGGAAGGCCTGCAGACAACTGTGGTGGTTCAAGTTCCAGGACTGGGGGTGATCCCAGCCATGCCTCTGGGGCCTCTTTCTTCAGAGCCCACCAGGCTGGACTGGAGAAGATCTGAAGCTATACGTAAGGTTGGGGATGCACATGAACTCTAGACTTCAGAACACGTGAGCTGCCACCTCTGACTTCAGACAAAATAAAGGCAATGACAATGACAAGAGCAGCTGATGTTTACTGAGCACTTACACCAAGTTGGGTACTGCTCTACCTGTTTCACATATATTACCTCATTCAATTCTCACTACAGCCTTGGTGCAGTAGACACTCTGATTATTCCCACTTGACAGAGAGATTAAAGAATTCACTCAATGTTGCATACCTAATACCAGCACTAGTTGGTTCCAACTCAGAGCGACCCCAGGTGTGCCAGAGTAGAATTGTGTGCCACGGGGTTTTCAACGGCTTATTTTTCAGAAGCTCACCTTTATTCTAAGATGTCTCTAGGTGAATTTGAATCTCTAGCCTTTTGGTTAGTAGTCAAGCAGTTTGCACCACCTCACGAGTGGCCAGAATTCAACCCCAAGGAGTCTGGGGCCAAGTCTGTGTTCCTAAGCACTCGGCCTCACTGCTGCTCAGCGGAGGCTCTGCTGTCAGAGCATCACAGTTTAACTCAGATGCCAATCCCTTTGCTATCAGCCCCTTACTACGCGAGTGTGGTCTGCGGTCCCACAGTGTCAGCCTCACCCAGGAGCTGGTGGATTGCACACTCTCAGGCTCTCTCCCAGACCTCCAAAATTAGAAGCTGCGTTTTAACAAGGCCCCAGGCAGTGTGTTTGCACTTGAATGCTTCAGAAACACTGCTCTGGAGCACTGAACTTTACACCTAGCTTCTGCTGACAGGTTGTCTTTCTTTGGCTTCTGATGGCTTTCTACTAAACTGTCCCTCACTGAGCTCCCAGCTTCTGCCTCCTCTAGAAATACTGCTGTTTCTTTCTTGTCTCCAGAGGCAAGCCTGCAGGGCTGTTCTGGGAAGCGAGAGCTCAGGCTGGCTCCCACAGGAGGGGACAGGAGAGGGGTTCCAGGAAGCTCAGGTAGACAGAGAAAGAAAAGCTGCTTAGGCCCACCTAGTGATAGCTTGGCATCAAAATGAAGGAAGTTGGGACTAGGCAGTGTAAGCATCTCATCAGGAAGAACCTTGCGCTGGTTTCTATTTACTCCAGTGAGGAGGGACCAGGGACTCTAAAGAAGCCTGGGCAGCACTGTAGCTGCCACCTCACCCTTGGCTGCTCCCAGCGGAGCTCACATGGCCCAAATTTGGAGCACACAGTCCTGAGTGAGCAGATGAAAAGCTCACCACTTGGGCTAAACAACATGTGCAAATGAAACACGTGACATGAGTGTGCCAGAGCTAGGGGCAGAACTGGACAGAATCAAATGGAGATTTCCAAAACTACGGGCAGAGAGGATATTGCAATCCCGGGATGTCATGGTGCTAGCCCTGTAGCATAAAACAGGTAGTCTTTGGGTCCAGAACTTCTATTTAGGATATCTCTAAGGATAGCAGATTCTGTGTTGAGTAAGATTTTGTTTGTTGTTAAAGGAGAAGGAAAGATACACACCCTTTTTAATGCCGATCAGCCCTTGACCAAGTTTCTTTGCTTTAAACCAGGTTATCTAACCATGTGATAGTATTACTGTCCAGTCCAGGCTGGCTAGCCAGGATATAAATAAAAACTGATTTCTCCTAAAGAATTAAGAGGGCTTCAGCCCATGGAGGAACCCTGGTGACACAGGGTTAAGTGTTACACTGGTAAGCACAAAGCCAGCAGTTCAAACCCACCAGCAACACCTCAGAGAAAGATGAGGCTGGCTGCTCTTATAAGGATTACAGCCTTGGAAATCCTCACAACAAACCCTCATTACTGTGTCCTAAAGGGGTGCTATGAGTCAGAACGGACTCGATGGCAGTGGGGTTTTTCCAAGCCCCATGGGAGGCTCCCTGGTGGCACAACGGTTGGTGGCGCAAACCTACCCAGAGGTTTTGTGGGAGAAAGACCCAGTGATCTGTCCAAGCCTAGAAAACACTACGGGGCTGTTCTCCTCTGTCACATGGGATCACAGTCGACTTGACAGCACCCATTAACAATAAGAAGCCAGGTGGGAAAGGAAAGCCAAACTCATAATCCATGGCAGGGCCTGATGGCTAAATATTATTCAGATAAAAATATACTTATTCTTTCCTAATCTCAGAGGGAGTCCTGGTGTGGCGCTGTGGGTTAACGCACCAGACTGCAAGGTTGGCAGTTCAAGGTTACCAGCTGCTCCTTGGAAACCCTACACAGGGTGGCTAGAGGTCAGAATTGATTCTATGGCACTTAACGACAACCACAACAATCTCAGAGAGAAAGGAGGATGAAGGTTTCCATTCCTTTTGTGCCGACAAGCATTTCCTCAGCAGAATGGTCAAGTGATTTATTTGGGTACCAGTATGAATAGCTCAGAGCACCTAAAATTTCCCCATCAGTAGACTAGAGCTCTCAGTCCCCATCTTACTGACTGTGTCCTAAGAAGGAACCACCCATCATAACAGTACAATAGCATTTGTTGTTGAGTGCCAAGGAGCAGTTGGTGGGTTTGAACTACCTACCTTTTGGTAGCAGTCCAGTGTTTATCCTACAGCACCACACTAGGACCCCTCAACAATGTTTGTTGTTGTTGTTAAGTGCCATCAAGTTGGTTCTGACCCAAAGCGACCCTGTACAGGGTTTCTGAGGAACCGCTGACCTTGCAGTTCAAACGACTTTGCGGTCTGGTGCATTAACCCATAGCACCACACCAGGACTCCCAACAAGGTTTAGCACCCAGCATTTGGGAAGAGAGTCACACTTTTCCCATTTCACTAAATTCACTCATTAGTCAGTCCACACCCTATGGCATCTATCAAGGCGCTCTGTCCCATGTCCCAGTGGTTCCTGAATGCATGTGTAGCCCAGAGCCAGGGGGGCAAAGTAATCTGCATAAATGTGTGAAGTGCTGTTAGTACCTACATAAGTTACAGCAGGGCAGAGAGGTCACTAAAAAACTGCAAGGACCTATTTCAACTGTTGTTGTTATGTGCCATGGAGTTGGTTCCGACTCATTGTGACCCTGTACAGGGTTTCGGAGGCTGTAAATCTTTACGGGAGCAGAAAGCCTCATCTTTCTCCCACGGAACAGCTGGTAGTTTCGAACTGCTGACCTTGCGGTTCGCAGCCCGATTCATAACCACTATGCTACCTACCCATCTTTAAATCTAGAAGCTACGCACAGCTGTCTTTTGGGGGAGGCTCCTAAGTGCAATACCTCCTAGATGTAGTAAACTTGAAGAAGGGGTTGGGCTAAATGGTGAAGAGCTTAGCCAATTGGTGGGTGCTTTAAAAAAGAAAAGTCCTAAGGCTTATATGGAGTCCTGGCGTGGTGCTGCAAGTTAATGAGCTGGACTGCAAGCTTGGTTTGAACTGCAAGGTCGGTGGTTCAAGCTCACCAGCCGCTTGAATTGGAATCAACTCGATGGCACTTAACAACAACAATGGCAAAGGCTCATACAGCTGCAATTAGGCAACAACAACCTGCTAGCACAGGGGTAGAATCCTGGTCTTCCATTAGGAGACTTGGATTCAATTTCTGGCCAATGTACCTGTCTACCAGGGGAGGTTTCTGTGTTACTCTGGTAGCGTAGTAGTTACGAATCGGGCTGCGAACCGGAAGGTCAGCAGTTCGAAACTACCAGCTGCTCCGCGGGAGAAAGATGAGGCGATCTGCTCCCGTAAAGATTTACAGCCTCGGAAACCCTATTCAGGGTCGCTATGGGTCGAAACCGACTTGACGGCACTTAACAACAACAACAACAATGATATTGAACAGGTTTCAGTGGCCCTTCCAAACTAAGACAGACTAGGAAGAAAGGCCTGGTGATCTACTTTAGAAAATCAGCCAGTGAAAATGGAATGGGTCCCAACAATCTGACTCCACTGTGCATGGGATCCCCATGGGTTGGGGGCTACACTGAATACAAATTTCTTCGCTGCCATCTCTGGCCTCCTTTACTTAGTTAAGTGCCATTCTTGGGCTATTTTAATCTGATTTTACCTGCAGAAAACTGGTGGGCAGGAGTCAGTGCCAGAAGGTAAATCCAGTTGCCACCCCCTCCTGCCCATGGCTCTGGGCCCACCCTTCCTAGGGAGTGTTCTCCTATGCAGCAACGCAAGCAGAGGCGGAGAGCTAAGATATGCTCCAGCACAATTCTCCCAGGCCACTCCCAGATCCAAAAGCAGCCACTGGAAGATTACATAGATTGTAGTTCCGCAGAGGGATGGCTTTACCACTTCCCCTAACCTCCAATGGTGCAGCTCTGATCTCCTGCACTCAATGCAGGGGGGAGGGCAGGAATGTCTGTTTCCAGACCCTAGGAGGAGCAGTCATCATATTCTATCTGCTTTGTGTTAGGTCACCTCTTTTTTCAGAATGCTAAAACGACCCAGACTTCCTGCCAGAGCACTGCAACACATTTCCCAGGCTGTCCGGTGCTCTCAGCCTTTCTCAAGCTTGGCTGCATAGAAGAGCTTTAAAAGGCCAGGTGCCCAGACCATATCCCAAGACGAGGAAATCAGACTGGGGAGTGGATATTAATTCAGGCATCTTTTAAGATCCTTATGGGATTCTAACTTGCAGTCAAGATTGAGAATCACGGCTCTCATCCAGCCTGGTGTATCTTCTTCATGGGACTTAATTCTGCTGATTATGGTTGTGTATTTGTCTTCTTCCTCCACTAGGGTGTCACTTCAGGAACTCCCAGTGTTGGCTGGTTCTCAGCTGTATCCCGAGCAGTCCCTACAGATATTAGGCCCTCGAGAAAGAACTGTTCCACTCGTATCTGCATTCCTGTATGACTTCAGATTTGACTGAGGCCTCTGACCGGCCTTCACTCATTCAACAACAGTTACTGAAACAGTGACCTATCAAAATCCATAAATACCTAGTTTCTAGAAAATCCAAGCAAAACTGAGTTTAATTAGCAGCATGCATGCTATATATTGATTTTTCATTGCTCCCACTACCATAGGAAAGCTCTATTCCTCGACACAGAAAAAAAGAAACTCCTTGCTGACAATAGTAAACAGAATCTTGTCACTCTGCTCTGATTGGCACACTGCCCCTGGAGTGCTCCAAGTTTGAGGCTTGGCTTACTGTCCGTACCAGATATGGGCAGTTGAGGATGTCTGTCCAATTCAACCTTCTATCTATAGAAACTGGAGCGGAGGCAGAGCATTAGAGCAGACCAGTAACTGTGTGGGCAGGTTCTCCACAGGACCTCCTTTAGTACTTCTCTCCATATGCAATATGCGTGGGGCAGGAGGGGGGCGTTTACTAGCCCCACTCTGAGGAGCACTCACCTCGAAGTCTCATCAGACCACACACCTTGGAGCGGAAAGAATGGTGTACTGCCAGAGGCCCTAGCCCAAGAATAGCCCTATCCATTCATGGAACAAGAGCACAAGCAAACATTCCCCAGAACTAAACAAACCAGGAAACTGCAAAATGGTGTTTTAAAATTGTGCTGGGACATTTGTTTCTACATGCCTAGGTTCTGAATGCCAGGTTCCTACCTATCTGTTCATGCGTTCTCACAACTCAGTTAACTCCATCTCCTGGGAGTCATCCTTGCTAACAATGCTTTTCTCCTCGTGTTCTTAATGCGTCAGCTCAGACAAGTCTAAGCTCAAAGACCTCACTTGTCCTTTAAAATCATCTCAGAGATGAGGAAGGCGGGGGTACATGGTTGGGCTTCTTTTTTGTAGCAAGTTTACAGCTGCTGGAGAGGAATTCTCTAAAATGAGTAAGAACTGATCTACAGCTGGGAACACAGGGAGATGGCACCTGCCTTATCTAATGCCAAGCCAGGGTCTCCAGACACCTTGAGAGGCCAAACGTTCTGGGGGAATGGGAAGCCAGGATAGATTCTAACAAATCCGGGCCTTAGGAATGACCTTCAGGAGCTCAGCAATGGACTCTTTACTTGAAGTAACCTGAGCATCCATCTACTAGGCCACAGAATCAGAAACCCGTTGCCCCTGTCCTCACACCACAAGCTCTCCCCTTGTCCTCCCCTCCTCGGCATATCGCTGAGAACCTGCGACCAGTTACTTCCTGGCTGCACGTCCTTGGGCAGGTCAGCTTTGCGGCTTTAGGCCTCAAACATGTCATCTGTACAGTGGGGATCGTGATCTCTGTCCCACAAGTGTAATGTGAGGCTCAAAGTGGATACGACACAGTGCGTAAGCCCTTTCTCGGAGACTAAGTCCTCGCCCACCAAGGGCATTATTCCCACGATGACCAATTACCCCCCTGGTCCCGGTTCCAGCCTCAGGAAAGCCCGCTCCGTCTCCCCCTTCCTCCCGTTGGGTCTAGGTCCTCCGGCCGCACGTAGAGATCAGGCCACGCCCCGAACCCCTCACCTCCATCGATTGATCCCGACTGAGGAGGAGGCCGCGAACCAAGGGTCCAGGATGTACACGCAGCGCACGCAGCGCGCCCCGCGCACGGCTGCCTGCAGCGCCGGGTTGTCGTGGAGTCGCAGCCCCTTGCGGAACCAATGCACAGAGGAGGCGCCATCCGTGCTCGGCGCCGACTCCAGGGCTGCCGTCGTTACCGTCCCCCGAGCCGCCGCCATCGCTGCTTGGACTGCTCTGGCCAACTCTGCTCCGCCCCCGGCAGCACGGCGGGCCCCACCTCCAGCCTGCCCAGTGACCTATGACGCCGTCGCTCCTCGCTGAGGCCCGGCCCCTAGGGCACTGAAGTGCCTCTACCATTGGCTGAGCGCCTCCCGTCGGGCGATTGGCTCTGCTATGCCGGGTCAGGCCCCGCCCCCTCACGTTCCCACCATGTGTCTGCCTGGGAAGTGCCGGCGGTCAGGGCTGGTGACGCAGGCGATCGCTCCCTGTGGAGGTCAGGGCGTGGGCCAGGACTTAAGGGACAGTGGATCCCTTACATGCATCCTAGTTAGGACCGACAGTCCCAGCCCTACATCACCAGCATCATTATCAGTCTCATTGTCGTGTACGCACTCCTTTAAGCCAGCAGCATCTTTCTACTAAAGCTACCATGGACAGAGTACATCTTCTATGACGAACATCGTGTTAATCTCCTTACATAGACTTTCTACTTTGCTACTTTCAGCTTAATCAGTTCCATTCACTCAACAAACCCTAGTAAAGGAGCTGTTATTATTCTCATTTTATAGATGAGGAAAATGGAGGCTGCCCCAGGTTGAGTGACTCGCTCAAGATCATAAGGTTAATAAAAGGACCCCACCCAGAATATTCTGATTCTGAACCTTCTGTTTTTATCCACAAAGCTGTGCTGAGCTCCTTGGTAATTTTGAAGCCTGGGACAGGGAGGAGTGCCCTGCCCTAGTAATGCAACAATAGAGGGTTTGGGAGCAGAGACTGGAAATGTGGAGGGCGTGGGTTGAGACAGTAATAATACCATCAGATGAACTGATTTTCTATTCATTCTACATTTAGTAGACTTGATGATACTATTGTATGAAAAGCATTGTTCTGGATTCTGTGTGGGATTCAGAAATGTGGAGGGTGCAGTCCCCACTCCTCCTCTGAGAAGCCAAGTGGGCCCTCTGCTGCTCTGGAGTCCAACACAGGGCCCCCTGGTGGATTGACTTACTGGCAAGAACCCACTGTCATCAGTCAATTCTGACTCATAGAGACCCTACGTAGGGATTCGGAGACTGTAAATCTTTATGAGAGCAGAGACAGCCTCATCTTTCTCCTGCAAGCAGCTAGCAGGTTTGAACCACCAACCTTGTGGCTAGCAGTCCCATCAATGCCTAACCCACAGTGCCATCAGGTCTCCTTGAGTGGCAAGCGAAGCAGATCAACACCCTCAACAAAGTACTGAAGGGGAACTGAGATGGCTCTGTGTTTACCTGGTAGGGAAGAATGTGTTTCTGTCTCACTCTCGGATATGCCCATGCTCTCAGCCCTTCCTGAACTCAGGAGCAGGCGATGAAGGAACTCATCGTCAGCAATTTAGTGGCATTCATTGGCACCGATCTATTAACCGTGTTGTTGCAATCCTAGGTTCTCTCTCATTTCCAGGGTTTTGCACAAGCTGTTCCCTCAGGCTGAATTGTTCTCCCTTTCTACCTCTAGTTTATTCTGTGTCACTGTTCAGTGCAGGTATCACCTTGGATGTCTGGTTCCAGCCTGAATACTGCCCATTTCATTCTGTCCTTCTTACCGCTGGCCCTCACACTTGGTACTGGGATTTCTTGCTAAATTATTTGTTCCCTTAGACTATCAGCTCCTAGAAGATAGGGCCTATTTATAATTGTATTTCTGGGGTCCAGCTCAGTGTTTGGCATTTCATAACCAAAGATTATTTGAGAAGAATTTGAACAGGGATTAGAGTCTTGCCTTGTCAGTCAATTTACTCATCTATTCCAGTTCTCTCACCTGATTCTGTCCTTAGTTTTGAATCCCCTTGCCATGTGTTTACTGAACGAATTGATGCTACTTCTCATTACTTTTCTTTTGAGGTTTTGTGTTCCCACCTCTTCTGTACTCCTCTCCCCACAAAGCTGATGCTCTGCTAGAAATAGAACAGAGTGTAAGCCCTATTTGTGAGTGAGTACTTTTCTCTTTTCCTCCCTTAAACTCCCATGAATGCTTTTTGTATAGATTATGAACTCCATGAAAGGCTGTGCTTGTCAAGTCACTCCTGTATTCCCAGCTGGGTGTCTGACATGTAGATGGTGCTCAATAAATATTTGCTGGATGATTGAATGCCATTTATTCCTGTCTATTTCATTGGGCCATTATGAGAGACAGTATGGTGCAATGGATAAGCACAATGTTTCAAGCATTGGAGTGATTGAATTCAAATTCTGCTTCTAGTGTGGTGGCTAATCTCCCTGTTCTTCACATTCTTAATCTATACAATTGTTGCTGTTGTTGTTAAGCACCGTCGAGTCAGTTCTGACTCATAGCGATCTTGTATAGAGTTTTGAGGAGCAGCTGGTGACTTTGAACCACCAACCTTGCAGTTCAAATGGCCTTGTGGTCCACTGCTTATCCTACAGCGCCCACCAGGACTCTGGTCTGTCGGGGATCTGCCTCAACAGGGGAGTTCGGTTCATGAAGTAGGGAGATCTGGCGGTGACAGAGACAGAAAAAGAGTACACACAAAGATGCAATGAGAGAGACAAAAAGACACCCCGAAACTAGGGTGGATGCGAAACTGGCGGGCAGACTCTGGACTACAGGCATCGTGGCCCTTGCAGGCAGTAATGCACAGCCAGCCCTGCAGGCAGTAATAAGGATGATGATAAACCCTAGGACATAGAGAAAACAAAACAAGTCCACTGCTATTGAGTTAATTCCAACTGATAGCAACCCTACAGAGGGTTTCCACGAGTGTAAAGCTTCATGGAAGCAGATAGCCTCAGCGTTCACCTGAGGATCAGACTGCCGGCCTTGCAGGTAGCCATCCAGTGCTTCCCTACCATGCCACCAGGCCTCCTTAGACCCACTGCCATTGAGAAGATTCCAACTTGTATAGAGACCCTATGTCTCTATATGAGGCTATAAATCTCTATGGGAGCAGAAAGCCTTCTTTTTCTCATGAGGAGTGCTTGGTGGATTTGAACTCTGACCTTTCAGTTAGCAATCCAACGTGTAACCCACTAGGCCACCAGAACTCCATGAGAACATTGTTATTGTTAAATGCCATCGAGTCCTCTCCAACTCATAGTGACTTTGTATACGGTTTCCAAGGAGCTTCTGGGAGGTTTGAACTGTCAACCTTGTGGTTAGCAGTACAGTGCTTATCCTACAGTGCCAAGCCAGAACATGGTGGTGGTGTGCCATGGAGTCGGTTCTGACTCATAGTGACCCTTCATAGGGTTTCCGAGGCTGTCAATCTTTATAGGAGCAGAAAGCCTCATCTTTCTCCCACGGAACAGCTGATTTGTAACCACTACACTACCAGAGGTCCTTAGCACCAGAACATAGAAAGTGCTTAATAAATATCAACTAGTATTCTAAATGGAGTCTTAGTATGGTGCTGTAGGGTAAGCACTGGGCTGAAAGGTCAGTTTGAACCACAAGGACAGTGGTTCAAACTCAACCAGCCGCTCCTTGGAAACTCTATATAGGGTCATTATGAGTCAGAACCATTACTGACTTGACGGCACTTAACAACGATAACAGTTATTCTGCATGGCAGGATCTGTGTCTGATTTTGTCTTCCCTATAATACCTAGCCCAGGGTCTTACATGTAAGGTTGTTGTTTGTTATGAGGTGCCATCGAGTCAGTTCTGACCCACAGCGACCCTGAATAGGGTTTCTGAGGAGCAACTGGTGAGCTTGAACCGCCAACCTTTCAGTTCAAAGAGACTTTGCAATCTGGAACTTTAACCCACAGCGCCACACCAGACATCTTACATGTAATGAGTGTTCCATATATTGCTGAGTGAATAAAGTGTTTTACTAGTTTTTAAAAAGTCTTCAAAATTATATTAATAGGGAATACACGCTCTGATTGGTGACCACGTTCGTCTCCGATAAGGGGAAGCAAGGGAAAAACAGCAATTAAGCTGCGAGCTAAGCCCTCCAACTTTCAATAGCCTCTTGTGAACCCCGGTGGAGACCTGGTTGGCCAGCAGTGTTGAAAAACCTGGGGACTCTTGGGCCCAGAGTCAGTGACATAGCCACAGAGGACTAGAGTGGAGAGTGAAGCATCCAGCTGATAAGAAGAGAGGGCATAT